TGGTCATTACATTTTATCTCGTATTTAACAATTTATTCACAATTTTATATATATCTCACTTTTGGTATCTCAACCTGTAATTTTATTTTATAAATTCGCATAGTTAGTCACTCAAATGAATTAGGCCCTCACTTGCCCAAATTCTAGATCCGCCCCTACTCACCCGCACATCGCAGGACTACGCACTAGTTTTAGTCATCACATGTTATACAATTACATACATCCGTACATGTGTTTTGTTATAGAGTAATTTATATATTTATTAATAAGAAAATAATAAGTGGATAAAAAACAAAAAAAAAGAAGAGAGTGGACCAAAATAAAAAACACGTATTCACTAAATACGTTTTTTTTACAATTTAATTGTAAAACGTATTTAGGGAATACGTGTTACAATTTTTTTTTTTTTAAAAAAAAAAAAGTATTTACATAAAACGTTTTATAAATAAAAACATTAAAAAACGTATTTTGTAAATACGTGCTTTTGATTCTTGTCCATCTCCCCTTTTCTGTTTTGTTTTATGTTCAGCATTTTTTTTTTTTCACGTTAAAAAATTCTTTTGTTATAGATCTTACGGGTAGTAAGGGTGAAATCGTCAATATTTTGAAATAAATTGATGGGGGAGATATGAACGGGTCCATAAAGATTAAAATGGGTACCTCTCAAGTCGCCGAAAAGAAGACAGCTCAAGTGCCACGTTATCAACAGAAAAGTGCCACGTCCCCGCAACGCGGCACTCTGCATGCAAACTCATAACCATCTCTACTTCCCCATATATAAAGCTAAAGAGTACTGAATACACTGCATTACAATTCTCTCATCTCCTACGCACACCAAATATATATAATTTGTGATCTGAAAATCATGGAAGGAGTTAACGTATCGACCCATCCTCAGATCCCCGGGGAACCCACTAAGACCTCCACCGCTCTTCTCGAGAAAGGCACCGCCGCCGTTCAGAGTTTCGGACCCGTCAACAAGATTCATCAGCATCTCTGCGCGTGCGTATATATATCCCCATAGCTAATAAAAATCTCTTATTATCATTTTTTCTTATTATCTAACTGATCGATGAATTGATTAATATGTGTTGCAGATTCCATTTCTACGGGCACGACATGACTCGGCAGGTGGAGGCCCACCACTACTGCGCGCACCAGAACGAGGAGTTCCGGCAGTGCCTAATCTACGACCGTCCCGAGGCCGACGGGCGCTTGATCGGGCTCGAGTACATAGTGTCGGAGGGCCTCTTCCTGACCCTGCCCGATGAGGAGAAGAGGTTTTGGCACTCCCACGAGTTCGAGGTCAAGAGCGGAGTCCTCTTCATGCCGGGCGTCCCGGGCCCCATACAGCGCCAGGACCTCGAGAAAGTGGCCAAGACCTACGGCAAAGTTATACACTTCTGGCAGGTGGACAAGGGGGACGCCCTGCCCCTTGGCCTGCCTCAGATCATGATGGCCATTACTAGGGACGGCCAGCTATATGAAAACCTGGCTCAAGGTACTGTTGTTGAGATTCGTTGTATATATATATATATATATATATATGCATGCATGCCATATTCTGTTTTTTATTTTTGTATTTTTGGGAAATAGATGTGGAGAGGCGTTATAATGTGAAGTTCGGGGAGGAGAGGGAGAAGAGGGCGTACATGGAAGGGCCGAGCCAAGGGATACATCCGATGGCGAATGGAGGAGGACAGGGCGTGCAGACAGTGCTGAGGGAGGTGGACTGCAAGCCTGCAGCTGCTTCTGATGCAAGTCATGTAGCTCCTGGGGCTGCTAGGGTCTTTGTTTAGGCCTTCGATTACTGCTTGTAATCTTGCGACTAGAAACTGCTTTTTGTGTTTATCGATCTATGCGTGGTCTGTGTGTCTAGGTTGTGTGTTCAACAAGCTTTTGTCGGGTTGTGGCTGTATGTATGATGTGTTATGTACGCACATATATATGTATATATGAAGTGTTCTTTCTGAATAAATTACATATGCATTGCTATTCCAACACAGAGAAACCAATTTATTACATATGCATTGCTATTCCAACACAGTATTACATAGCGTGTGACAGGGAAATGGAAGAAATTCAAGTACAGAATGTAACACAACACATATACATGACAACTGGCAAATGGAAGAAACCGTCGCCATGCCTATACAACATACATTATTATATAGTACAGATGTAACTGAGGTACTTGAGGTTTCCTTCCATCATTCATTCGACCAAGTATGGGATACTGTAAGATAGCAACTCACTGGTCACCTTTCCAAGAAGACAACGGAGGGGTCTCGGAATGTATCCAAGTCGTTGCCATGACAACATGCCGGTCTCCCTTGACAACCTCGGCTGAAGCATAGGACTCGAGTTCAGCCATCTCTTGGGGAGTTAGTTTCACAGAAAGAGCTCCAACGTTCTGGTTGAAGTTATCCACTTTAGTAGTCCCGGGTATGGGGCACACGTCATCTCCTTGGTGATGAACCCAAGCAAGCGCCAGCTGAGATGAGGTGCACCCTTTTCTTTTAGCCATTTCACTTACCCTTTCGAATATCAGCTTGTTGTTTTCGAGGTTCTCTGGCCTGAACCTCGGAAAATTCTGTTAAGGAAAATGTCAACTTTTGTATCAGTATTATTGGCTGAAAAAACGAAAAAGAAAGCTCGCAGTTTGAAAATGGAAGTACGCCTCAGCCACATGAATGAAGAGAAATAGAATAATATCACTCCTTGCATGGTTGTAACTTAAAGTGAATGAAGAGAAAGCTCGCAGTTAGAGAACATTTAACAAGTTTGTCCATTTAAGTAAAATTCAGAATATTAAAGGTTTATCACCAACCTTTCGGAAATCGCCTTCTCCCAAATTTTGTATCAAATTTGCACCCGAGGTAAAGAAACCACGACCAAGAGGACTGTATGGCACGATTCCGATACCAAGTTCTCTGAAATGCACAGGATAAGCAGGTCTAATTAATTTTCTCATGTCCTATAATACCGAAAAAAGAAAGCAAAAAGGTTTTTACCTGCAAGTAGGAACTATTTCATCTTCTAAATCCCTTGACCACAATGACCACTCGTTTTGAACAGCAGTTAACGGATGCACAGCATGTGCCCTTCTGATTGTTGAAGCAGAGGCTTCTGATAGCCCAACATATTTTATTTTCCCTTCTTCAACAAGTTTCTTCAGTTCACCCATCTTAAAATGCATGAAACCGGAATAACGAAATAAAAGCAGTATTATAATCCAAATGAACTATACTGTAACTATAGTTTACTTTAAGATGTTACTATGTTGCTTCAGTAAGACATGGATAAGCAGATAAAAGAAGTGATGACGGAGCCCAACATCGCTAGCATACCATTTTTACCATGACGATACCTGAAGAAATAAAATTCTGGAATTTATAATGGTAACATGCCATGGTATTCTTCTCGAACACAAACTAGCGTTTATGTCTTCTTCATACTCGCCAGGAAAACAATCTATAACTATGTCATATAGTAGCTATAACTAGTCGTATGTTCAATGAGCCTCGGAAAGGGCGGTGGTGTTAAGTTTTAGTTCAGGAGTTTTCGGATAAGTGATGCGATAAATGTTAAATGTGTTCCGCTAATACCTAAGTTAATTTTTTACTGTATGCATGTTTTCCCAAGCCTAATCAATAGTCTAGTTGAAAGTAACTTAGGGGTAGTCCTCCCTCTTCTGCAACATGCTGCTTTATAAGAACCAAAGGATAAACTAACCCACTGAAGTATTGTATGTCAAAGCTAACACGACTCAAGCTAAAATTCATTCAAAAGTAATGTGGATCGACTCAATTCTCCAAAGTTCTAAAGATCATCAGCTAGCAAACAGATACTTGTGCAGGAAGAGGCCATACCGTGACTTCAATAGGCACACGAGTGTCAATACGGTGAGCATAATATAGATCGATGCAGTCGATGTCGAGACGCTTCAAGCTTCCCTCACATGCTGCCCGCACATATGCCGGGTCGCCTCTTATCTCATTCTTCCCGTCCTTTGCTGTTATTCCAAACTTGGTAGCTATTTGCACCTTATCTCTCTCTATTCCTTTCAGGGCCTATTATCAAAACTCCATCAGAAGAGTGATTGAGTACATCTAACAACATCAGCAACTATAACCAGTACTTGGACAGATCCCTAACTACTGTACAAGTCCATCAAGGTTCCAAATCGATTGTTAAGAACTTATGGTAATTAAACATTCAATTTTCACAATAATCAGAAAGAACAGAAAAAAAAGGGGGGGTTTATTGCAAAATCGGCAGACCTTGCCGATGAGGGTTTCATTGGTGTGGGGCCCGTAGTAATCGGAGGTGTCGAGGAATGTGACGCCGGAGTTGATGGCATGGTGGATGAGCTGAATCATGTCGGGCTCGGGCTTGGGCGAGCCGTACATATAGGACATGCCCATGCAGCCCAGCCCTTGTTTGGAAACCTCGAAACCCTGCGAACCCAGCTTCATCCTCGGCACAGTCGCTGCCATTTTTTTCTTCTTCTTTCTGTAGCGTGGAGTGATTCGATTATTTTGTGTTCACAATTGTAATGACTGTATTTATAGTGTGCCGGCGGGACATATATTCCAGAAAGTAAAAGCAAATTGATTGAGCAGAGGATAGAGATCTCCGGAAGGTAATTTGCACGCGCGGCAATGGTCGTTTGGGTAGTAAAAGTAAAAACCTGATTAGTCTTCCCATACGTGAGCACTGACGTCATACAAGAAGTTTTATCCTTGAGGCTTAAACAGCGCGTTCATATCATGAATAGTGCAGTTTTATTTGGTGTGGGGAGAATCAGGAACCGTTTTTGTCCTTTTATTTGCTGGGAAGCGCCGTGAAATACGTTTTTGTTATTTGTCATTGGTGATATTAAATTAAACGAGTTTAGCTAGGTTTAAGCTCGGCTCGTTAAGGGTCGAGCTCGGCTCGAGTTCAAATAATGCGAAAAGCTTGAATCTTTTTTTTTTGGGTACATGGACTTTCCGGTTTTCGGATCCACAGGGGAACCGACTAATCCGGAATCGAGCCGGGTAGGACCACAAGGGTGGCAAAGCTCTCCCTCAAGAGTTTTTAACACTGCTGCATCCCCAGGGCTCGAACACGAGACCACTGGTTAAGCTGGAAGAGACCCAAACCATCTCATCCAAGCGCTCTTGGGTGAAAAGCTTGAATCTTTAACAAAAATGACTTCGCCGGAAAACTCAAGTATTGAAGCTCCAAACATGAACAAGAGAGAGAAAGGAGAGAAAAATAAAAAAGACAAAGCTAATTTCCTAGCTAAAAACTTAGGAAATGAGGGTGGTGTCCAAAAATACAAAGCAAGATGTCTATATATAGTTGCACCACAAACACACACTAAAAACACACATATTTAGTGAAATTCTGAAGTTCGCCTGTCTCGAAATCAGTTTCGCAGCGAGTGTATAATGTGCTTGGGGCTGGCAGGGTGCGTTCGCGTTCGCAGCGAGTGCCGGCAATTTGGTGGACGGGGCGCGTTCACGGCGCACGAAAGAAGTCTCGATGCGAGTGGAGCTTGGGCTCAAGGCGCGCGAAATGAGGTTCGCAGTGAGTGTGGGCATGATGGACGAAGCGCGTTCATTGGGTGCGAAAAAGGTCTCGCTGCGAGTAGAGCTTGGGCTCAAGGCGCGTTCGCGGCGCGTGAAATGAGGTTCGCAGCGAATGTGGGACTCTCTCTCTCTCGCACGATTTGGTTGGTTCGGTTAATGGCTCGAGTGGCTCGGAAATAGCTAAAAAATGGCACGAACAGCACGTCTTCCCGAAATAGCTCAAAATATTGTGAATGCAATGGATTTTGTTAGTGTTTGTAGATATCAACTTCAAGAGTTGAGAGATAGTGGATGAGATTTGTTATTTGACGAGGTTTGTTAGTTTTGTGAGAAACATCTATTGATGTCCCCGACATGACTAGCATGTTTATTCGTTTTGAACCTCGCGATAGTCCACTTCGTAATACACCAAAAATAACGAATTTGCATCATTATCGAGTTTATTCATCCTGTGTCGTGATTGGTTTGCAACTACAAGAGTTACATGATCGTTTCTCGGAGGCTAATACGGAGTTGCTACTTTGTATAGCTTGTTTATCTCCACGAGATTCTTTTTCTGCTTTCGGCAAGGGCAAACTAGTCAAGATGGCCGACTTTCATCCTCAAGATTTTTCTATATCTGATGTCCTCATTCTTGAGGATCAGTTGCAGAACAATACTGTTGATATGCGCTTCAACAATTTGTTTAAAGAATTAAAAGAACTCGGTGAACTTGCAGAAAAGTTGGTGCAAACGAAGAAGCACCTAGTGTTTCCTTTGGTTTACAGACTTATAACTTTGGCGTTGGTTTTACCGGTTGCAACAGCTAGCGTGGAAAGAGTGTTTTCCGCAATGAATATTATTAAAAATAGATTGAGCAATCGAATAAGTGATGATTGGTTACATGATAGATTACTAGTTTATGTAGAAAAGAAAACTTTCTAGAAAATTAGTAATAATGTTATTATCGAACAATATCCAGCCATAAAAACTCGTAAAGAACGACTATGAATATATGCTTTTGTATTTGCATTTTTCCTTATGATATTTAATATTTTTTTCATTAAATAATAGGCCCCCTCATTATATTTATAGATCTGCCCCTGTCGACGACGGAGCTCAATATACAACGCTTGTAGACAACAAAATGTTTAGGAGCTCGATACACAAATCCACAGAGATTTATCGCTATTCTCAAACAAATTACCCTAGATCATCACTTCATAGATCTGATATCCGTCAAATGAGTTGAATCTTGAATCCTGTTGCCATGAGATTTATTCTTATTTTCTTCCTTTAATCATTCTCACCTAATCTCATTCATATATATAGTTATTGCATAAAGATAATACATTAATACTCAATACTTTCTGAATTCCTGGACACATAACGTGGGAGGGAGACCAATTTATTCGCATGCCAACTCTTACAAGCTCTCGTAACTTGGAACTAACAACTAGCAGACACCCATGTGGCCATGCATGAATACAAGAAATTAACTAGAAAAATCTCAGAACAAGATCACAAAGTAGAATAACCTCAGCCTGGAGGACAGCAAGTCACTGATCAGCTTTCCAAGAGGATAACGGAGGAGTCTCTGAATTCATCCAAGTTGTTGTCATGAAAGCATGCCTGTCTCCTTTTACGACCTCGGCTGAAGCATAGGACTCAAGCTCGGCCATCTCTTGTGGAGTTAATTTCACAGAAAGAGCTCCAATATTCTGGTTCAGGTTTTCCACTTTAGTAGTCCCGGGTATGGGGCACACATCATCTCCTTTGTGATGAACCCACGCAAGCGCCAGTTGAGACTGTGTGCACCCTTTTCTTGTAGCCATTTCTGTTACCCTTTCGAATATCACCTTGTTGCTTTCAAGATTCTCTGGCTTGAATCTTGGGAAGTTCTAGAGAAGAAAATGATAAATTTGTATTAGTGTTACCGTGAAAGAGAAAAAATCTTGCCCATTCAAGAAAAAATAATGCTGGAGCATACAAATATTTCACCACAAGGCTAGGAGCAGTTCTGATGTTAGAATTATCTCATAATCGAAGCAACGAGATCATTTAGTCCAAACATTTCAGCACGAGCAAAATCTTATCTTATCAATACACGAAATTCTGTCTATTCGCTGTTATTTGATTATTTCTGTTCAATAACATCATTGTTTGTTCCTAAGAAGCGGAATTAGCATTTGAACGTTGATCACACATACAAAATATGACCAATGGCCTCAACTCTCAACAACTGTATGAGAACAAAATTGAAAAAGATAACCTAGGTGTTTAGCAAACAATTAAAATTTTGTCCACGCTAATGGAAGTCGATATTATATGTATATCACCAACCTTACGAAAGTCTCCCTCCCCCAAATTTTGTATCAAATTTGCACCTGAGGAAAAGAAACCACGCCCAAGGGGACTGTAGGGGACAATTCCAATACCGAGTTCTCTGAAAGTCACGGGATAGGCAAAATGTTTCATTAATTTTCTCACGTCCTAGAATATTGTAAAGGAAAGAGAAAAGGTGTTTACCTGCAAGTAGGAACAATTTCATCTTCTAAGTCCCTTGACCACAATGACCACTCATTTTGAACTGCAGTTACCGGATGAATAGCATGAGCCCTTCTGATTGTTGAAGCAGAAGCTTCTGAGAGCCCAACATACTTAATTTTCCCTTCCTCAACCAGTTTCTTCAGTTCACCCATCTTAAAATACACGAACCAAAATTTAATAATGAGAACGAGTAAGACTACATAAACCGGGACAAAGCCACCAGTCATTACAAAGGGAGTCACTGCAACTGTAGTTTCTTGTTTGACAGCTGCTTCAGATAAGCATGGCTAGGCAGCAAATGAACTGATGAAGTAGCCAATAAGACTAACAACATTTTTCTGAATGACTATTACAATTAAGAATAATAATGCCGAATTTCATAATGCTTATATCCAATTATACTTGAACACAAACTTGCGCTCTTATCTTTCTTTCTACTCCTCAGAAGAGGAAAGAAGAAACAGGAGAAACAGGTCATATGGTAGGAATAACAAAGAAATATGCTTAATGGGCCCCCAAAAGTGAAGGGTTGTTCGGTTCTATTCTAAGTGCTTTGCGATAGGAGTCTTAAGGTAGGAGTCTTAAGGTATTCATGAATATGTATATTGGTTTTTCCTGTATGCATTATCACCCAAGTGCAATCAAGAGACTAGTTCAATGTACTTAGGGATAGTGCAGCCTATTGTGTAAGACGGATTTATGAGAATGAAAATAAAAATAATTAATCGCCAAAACAACAACTCTCTTCAAACAAAAAGAAGAACAGCATCACCTAAGCAATGGCAGTGGGCATGCAACTCCATACACTAAAGGATAAAATGAACGTCTTATGTTAAAGTTAACACGAGTTCAGCTAAAATTCCTTGGTGACGTGAAGTGATCATCTATCCTCGCAATTTTGCAATGTTTTCCAATGTCACAGTCATGAGCTAGAGAACAGATACTTGTACAGGAAGAGAGTATACCGTGACTTCTATAGGCACACGAATGTCGATACGGTGTGCATAATAGAGATCAATGCAGTCAATGTCCAGGCGCTTCAAGCTTGCCTCACATGCTGCCCTCACATATGCCGGGTCACCTCTTACGTCCATCTTCCCGTCCTTTGTTGTTATTCCAAACTTGGTAGCTATTTGAACTTTGTCTCTCGCTATCCCTTTCAGAGCCTAAACCACAATTCCCAGAGTGAACTTGAGTTAATATAACAACTACAACAACTTTTATCAGAACTTGTGCAAAATTTGTTAACACAGAACAGATTTCAACACCAAACAATTCCAAGAACATCAGCCATAGAAAATATTGTATCAGAAAATTAAGGGGAAAACGCATATAAATCTACAGCAGATATTACAAAATTAGAACCCAACAAAAGAAATTCCAAATGAACTGTGGCAGATCACTCACTGCTGCACAACTCCATCAAGGTTTTAATCGACAATCATGCTCCATTCACCATTAAATTCCACCTCCGTATAATCATCAACAAGACAAAATACACACACTACAGAAAAAAAAAAGGGGGGATTTTGCAAAATTAGTCGACCTTGCCGATGAGGATTTCATTGGTGTGGGGTCCGTAGACATCGGAGGTGTCTAGAAACGTGACGCCGGAGTTGATGGCGTGGTGGATGAGTTGAATCATGTCCGGCTCGGGCTTCGGCTGGCCGTAATAAGCAGACATGCTCATGCAGCCCAGCCCTTGCTTAGAAACCTCAAGACCCTGCGAGCCCAGCTTCATCCTCGGCACTATCGCAGCCATTTTTCCTTCACTCCTTTGAATGGTTTTGTTCTTCAGAAGGATGAGTGTATTTAACTATTTATAGAGGGTTGGAGGTGGAGTGGCGGGACAGACTGTGAGCGATTGAGCAGAGATTTTGGGAAGGTAATGTGCACGCAGTTCTCGTTCGGGTGATAAAGTAAAAAGGGGGTGCGGCATGTGGTCCCTCCATAACGTAAGTAGTGACCTCATGGATGAAGCTAGAACAGAACAGGTGGCCAATGGGTTCGAGTCAGTAGGTTCGAAACCGGAACCCCGGTTCACGGGGCTTCGTTCAATCGGCTCATATTGTACGGGTATTACTTAACGAGTCGGTGGTTGCAGTTCTTATTCTGGATTCAGGAGGATCAACCATTTTCGTTTCGAAATCACATTTTAATTAGTATTTAAGGGTGTGATTGGACATAAGTTTTCTTAGTTTTGATTGTGGTGTACCTAAAAGTATCCGAACGTAAAAAAAGACGTGGCCCACACACAATTCTTAACTCAAAGAGACGGACAAAGCCCCGAACACATAAATCACCCCACTAACGACCAAAGTAATCAACATTAGGGTTGTCGATCGCCTGATCGACATGTTGATCGTCTGTGGAAACTTCCCCGCGAAGACTGACGATCACTCCTACCGTCAAAACATCATGATAAAGCTGGTAGTCACGCCCGAGATGTCCCATCAATTTCTGTATGGAAACAGCAGCACCACCCTACACCCCTAGTAGGCACTCCTCGTTTAATGCATCGACACTTTTTTTCGTGTATAAATAATAGTCCTTAAGCCCGAAAAATGCAAACAAGCCAACGCAGGACAACCTAAACCAGTCTAATCCAAGCTAAATTCATATAAGAAGACCCTAGAAGGGGTGATCACTATCATTGTGATCGTCACCACTCTCTCGTATTCACACATATTTGATCTCCCGAAGATCACACACAAAAATACTCGGTTTTAATCATCATACAAAATCTCTAATAAAATTCTTGAGATAACATCTCCTTGTCGATTGCCACAGTCGATCGGCAAAATCAGTGTCATGCTTTATTTTTTACGCATATTTATTTTATTGTGATCTTATTTTTCGCATCACTAAGGGTGTGATTGTATATGAGTTCAATAGTAAAATACTCAATTCAAACTCAAATTTAACTCAACTTTAACTGAACCCCACTATCATCAATATCCTCTCTATATATAATTCCCAAATGTGCTGAGCCTACGTGGCTGCTTCTGGTGTTTCGGAATCTTACTTGGCAAAGAATCATGCTTCGTAATTAGGTTTGGACAAATAATATTGATATATTAATAATTAATAATCTAGGTTCGGACATTCCATAAATACTAAATAGCTAATTTAGGTAATTTAATATCACTTGTACTAATATAACCCTTTAATTATTTGTAATTTTACATAGTGAGACATTAAGTGACTAATATATCCCTTACTTTTGATTTCTTTCCTTCAATTAGTTATTTAATTGTAAATGTATTTTAAAAGTTGATAAGTTTTGTATTTCTTATCGGTTTTACATATATAATATATCAAATTAATCATCTTTTGATTATCTTTG